CAAGCCTGGAGCGCTGCCTGGGGTTCTATGGTATACTTCAATTTTTGCAACAACGCAAAACATTTAGACAACAAACCCCAGAAATTCACTTAAAGAAAACTCAACACGACAATTACGCATGAGATCCGACTTACAAATCTAGGCGGTTGCTTGCAGTTTCGAGGTTCAATTTCTAACGACTTGTTGAACAGGTAATCTGTAAACTCTTTTTCTGGTATCTTCCCCATAGGATTGAGATTCTCAAAGAATTTCTAAATGAAACAAGCATCAATAGTATTTTAAAAATAAGCAGATGCACAGAATTTTAATGAAACGTGTGTAATTCACTGATTTAAAAAAAAAAAAAGCTAGCTTTTCACTACTGTGAAGCTTATTTCCAGGAAAATCAAGAGTGAAACGTTCCCTGAAATAAATAAAAACCAACCCAATGCACGGAACAGTCAAGTTCACGGTTAAGCTTCCTGACATGGAAGCGTGACCTTATTGCAGGTAGGTAGGCACGGGAAGTGAAATCTTCTGTAAACTGCTAACTGGGATTCACTGATCTTTCTCAGGCGAGTAACCACTCGAGCATCCTTTCCCCTTCCTAAAGCTAACGCTGGCCGACACCGCTGCCTCCCCACATCTGCCTAGCTGCCGCTGAGCGACTGCTGGGATCTGTGTCGGGTGTCGGAGGGGCTGCAGACTTTGGTCAGAGGTGTCACCCCAGGATGCCTGAAGGACTAAAGGCACCAGGCACGTACAGAGCGTTTTAGCTTAAGGGCATCGCTTTTTCTCCCCAGAGTTCTGCTCTTCAGTCAGTATGACTTATTCTGTCCGCTTTATTGCTAAAAACCAGGCTGCAGGACAGTAAGGGGATGAACAACATCCAGAACATGGAATCCAAGTAAGTAAAACCTCACTTCTGGCTGGTACTTTGCTGTCTACCAGCCACTGTTCACACAAGATGACCTCTAGTACTAAAAGATTACTTGGCAGTACTTGTCATGTACATTCTTCTCACTCTCCTATCCCCAAACCCAGGTATTTAGCGTTTGATTACCCGAATTTCTGGCTCTATCCGTAAACAGTAAGGCTGGTTTTGGTACTGCTGAATTTCTCCTGTAATTTCAGCCACTTTTCTCCTCTTACTGAAGTTAATTAATTCTTTCCCTTGTCTTTTAAGGAAGTCAGGATTCCCTTCTTCAGTCTTCAAAATATTTGTTAGGTAGATTCCTGAGAAAGAAAGAAGTGTTTTATAAAGTTCATTTTCATCCCAAGGGCTGATTTCATCCTTCCTAACGAATGACAAAAATGTCTGAGCAGAGGTAGACCATTCCCTTTCACACTCCCAACAGTTTATTAGCTGGGAAGAACGAATCAAGTCTGTACTTCACACAGGAACAATGTATTATTGAATTAAGATGCTTTATCTCCTTTGCATGAGATCATGAGTTTAGAAAAAAAATAGAACATCTCCAGGTCACTAATGAGGAGGCAGTATAAAACGAAGTAAGGTAATATTAATAATACCAGTAATCTGTCTATTGAACGAGAAAAATGAATTTTATATAAAAGACACTAAATCTTTTACCTGACCTAGTGGAGATTGAGATTGGACATCAGGAAGAAGTTCTTCCTGAAGGGAGCGGGGAGGCACTGGGACAGGTTGCCCAGAGAAGCTGTGGATGCCCCATCCCTGGAAGTGTCCAAGGCCAGGCTGGATGAGGCTTGGAGCAACCTGGTCTAGTGGAAGGTGTCCCTGCCCATGGCAGGGGGTGGGACTGGATGGGCTTTAAGGTCCCTTCCCACCCAAACCATTCTGCGAAGTCTAAAAACATTACAAACCCAGGAAGTCCAAAGTCACATCTCTGTCACAGAATTTTTAGCACTAAACCAACCCTGGACGCTCTAAGCAGCACGAACACAACCGCACCAGACTCAGCCCAAGGCTGACAGTACACACCGCAGGAGCCTGCCGTGGCGTTACTTACCGAAGAAAGGCACACAGGGTGGATTGATCGACTTGAGCTTAGCTAGATACTTCTTAAAATGATCTTGACTTAATTCTACTGCTTCATCCAAAACTCTTTTTTTTCTTTCCTGGAGTGCCTAAGTTGCCAAAGGAAAAAACGCAATAGAGATGTAAATTCTCAATAGCACAGTTAGCAAAACCAAGGCAATTCCCTTGCTCTCAGCAAAACTTCAGACCTGGAATTCAGATTTGAGAGAACCACTTTTGTAGATGATGTGCTCTGGATTGACAGCACTGTCAGTCCAAGAATTCAGTCACGTGAATCATGAGGCTACTGTCAACAGACCACTGTTCTGTCTATCAACTTACAAGCATAATTCTGGTCTTTATATTTAATAAAAAAATAACATTTAATTTTTGAATTTAACAAAAAGGCCTTTTACTGCCTTTCAAAGACATACAAAACTCAACACTTCATTCATGCTGCTCTGTTTTACTCGAGAGAGGCTTTGCTGCCAAGTCCTAGGCATTTCTTTTCCTTGGCAAGTGAAAAATGGAATCACAGCTTGTCTAGTAGCGTCTCTTCCTCCTGTCCATTGAACCCCTTTCAGCAGCTACTTGTTTCTGACTCTTGACAGTCTGAGTTTCCCGAGATTCTCTCATCCAAGAGAAGTTCTTGCGATCAACTGAAAAGGGAGTTCTCGCTATCCCCTCCCCACATCTCTTGCGCAGGTAGGAAATGCTGCTGTTAGCGTGTCCCAGTCCTGGGATCCTCTTTCATACCCATAAAATGCTTGACTGAAGCAACAGGTTCATTTCACACAGGTTAACGAACAACAACCGAACGGCCACGGCGCTTCCCCTTTTCAGGCTGAATACACGCGAGAAAACATCTGCTGACAAGCTCTGCTTCCCACAACCAACCCCTGGAGAGTCCCCGCTCATCTCGTGCGTTGCCTCTTAACCGAGCATTTCACACCTGTTTTTTTCCACGGAAGCAAGCGTGGTACGGGTAACTGGACGTCACTGCAGAAGGGTGTGTTCTGGATTCTGCAATGCCCCAGACTCACCTCGAACGTGTGATCTAGTCTGTACACTGACACCGAGTTCATGGCGCTGACGATCTCCAAAACGCCGTTGAAATTATTCAGATCTTGGAAAACCTGCAGGATTTCTATAATCCTGCTCAGCACAGCCACGCGCTCTTCAAAGTTCTCCGTTTCCACGATGCACCTAATCAAAAGACATAATTGGAGAAACACTGAGAAATAAAACTTGACGTTTTGCTAGCTACTAAATCAGAAATTTCCAAGCCAACACGGTGCGGTACACCCAGTGTGCCCACTCTGGCTCACTCTCAAGGATCTCAAGTTGGAATTTATGTAATCACATCTTACACATGTTCACGTTGGAAAGCCAAGGGAGGTTTTGGCATATCCTGCAAAATAATCAAGCAAATCCCAAGCGAGGCCCAGGGTGAGACTCACTTCAAACTCGCCAGGCCGGGTGAGTGCCTATGAGCTGCTACACCTCGAGATTCCGTGCAACAGAATTCAACAGCCCAAAGAATCTCTGCAGGAGTCAACGCCACTACCACCATCCCCACTTGTACTCACTTTTCAAACCAGAGAGTGAGATTTGTAGTATGGCGAATCATTTTCAGTAGATTTGGGGAGTTAATTTCCTTATCTTCTTTCGTCCACACACTACCAACGAGTTCGGAAGGCTGTACTGCCCTGGTAATGACAAAGCAAGGTGCAGAAGAACGCTCAGTACAAGCAATAACGGCATGTTCTGTGTTTGTGTTCCAAGATTATTTCTTCCCTTAATCATGAGTTGGCATTTCACAACTACAAACCAATCTAATCTGCTGCAAAACGGTTCCTTAAAATTACTTTTGGACGAGTCTTCGACTATAGAGGGAAATACATTTTTGTCTTAATGGAAATTGGTGTTTTCGAATCAGCATTTTCAGGTAAGAAGTTACAAAGGATTAAGTTTAATTTCCTGAAAGAAAGCATCTTAAAGACAATCAGATTTTTTTTTTTTTTTTTAAAAAGGAAGCTGAAGTACTTGGAGCAATCTGCTGGCAAAGTGGCCTATTTCAACAGAAAACCTGCTGTCACCGAAGCCCCAAAGGATACTACACCTTCAAGTTTGGTAAGAGCTTACAGAATTTCTAGCCAGCAAAACCCAGCTCTCACATCAAGGCCAGCTTTGTTCATCACAGGTAACAGCAGAGTACTTATGGTACCAGACCAAAAAACCTCTTCGGAAGCAGAGGGCCTTGACGTACCAGCGCTACAGTTACACGCCCGGAACTCCTCTGCCGTGCAGCTGCACAGGAAAAGGAGCACAGACCGTCGTCTTTTCATTTTATGGTGAGGCACTGGGACAGGTTGCCCAGAGAAGCTGTGGATGCCCCATCCCTGGGAGTGGCCAAGGCCAGGCTGGATGAGGCTTGGAGCAACCTGGTCTGGTGGAAGGTGTCCCTGCCCATGGCAGGGGGGTGGAACCGGATGGTCTTTAAGGTCCCTTCCAACCCAAACCATTCTGGGATTCTAGGATGCAACAAGCATGTCTCACCAAGGTAACCCCAGTTTGCTTTTAACAAGGAGACAATACAAGTTCATATTATCGACTCGGAGTACTTCAGTGTCCTTGCTGTACGTATTTCTGCTGTCAGAAGTCTGATGTGGAGATAAAACAATTTTTTTTTTTTCCATTTCATATTTTGATGTGCAACAGATGGCAAGAAAACCTCTTTGCAGAAACTCTGCAAGTCGAGGGGACGTACCTGCAGCCGATTCTGGGAATGAGAACTCTCTCGTGCTCAAATCACGTAATAAAACGACACGTTATTAGTTCGGGCCCTACCTATAAAGATCAGACTCGAGAAGCGTCAGCTGCCGAGCAATTTCTATAGGATGCAGAGTCATGAGGTCCAGCGTTTCGCTGTGCCCGACACGCCAGATGTGCCACTCCACGGGGGGCGGCGGGCTCTCGAAGGTGATGTTGTGGCTAATGCCGTTTGCCTGAGCTTTCTTTCTCCTGATGATTTTAGCGATGGATTCCACCCACTTCTTCATGGATTTTCCTGCAAAACAGAGACCGTAAGAACCATCCTGCGCACCCAGTTGTGTTTCATCACATTTACTGACAGTTTTTGAGGGGAAAAAAGTGACCCTGTATACACTGTATTTTACTTCCCTCCCCCCCTAGCTGCAACCGTCTCCACTTGGCCTCCCAGCTTCAGCTACTCAGCGGAGAAGAACTGCGGAGGTAAACAAGCCTCAAGTGAGAACTCTGCAACACGCCGTACTCATGCCCAGTGGGACAAAATGACTAGAGAAATACATGTTCACCACAGCAGTCCACAATATTCTGTCCAACACAGAATAGTGGACAAGATGGGAAGTACCCTCAGCATTTCGAGACAAGAAGCTTTTAAGAGACTAACCCAAATGGAATTATTCCTCTCTGGTCAGCAACGTTTGGTATGGAGACCTCTGCAAAAGCTAAACTACCGTTCCCTAAGCTGGTGTCAGAATTAAATCATCCTGGTCTGGCAACCTGAAGAGTAAAAGCCCAGAATTGCCAGGGTGATGACTACGACTGACTTGCCCTCTACACAGGCTGCCAAAAAAGTCTGCTAGTTGGTAAGGGATTGCTCCAGAGGAAGCGATCCCAAGCAGGTCGAGTATTTTCTCCGAAAACGACCAGGAAAAATGGGAAAAGAACAAGATGGAAAAAATTAGTCTCGGCAACCAACATGGAAGGAATTCTCTACAACACGGGGAGGAGGAAGGCGCCAGTCCGAACCCTAACAGGTCTGCTGTAGAGTCAGGCCAGGATGAGCGTTGCCGTCCAGAAGTAAATACGCTCAAGTGCAAGATCGTAAGGCCTGAAGTAATTTTTGGTAGCTGTTCAGGCCCCAGGCCAAAGCTTGCTCATGCAAAGGAGAGGCTCATAAACAGCTCAATTAAACACATTAAAATTGCTCGTGTGCGTAAAGATAATGTCATGCCCGAAACCTGTCGGGATTAGCCCAGCAGGCTGCACCGAAATGCAATTACCATACCTCGTACGCTGGAAATAAACGTCTCCAGCCTCTCGAGTAACTCCAGATCTCTTTCAAAATCGTAAAAATGATGCTCTACCCAGTGACGAAAAACGTTTAGTATTCTGAGAAAGGAGAGAAAAAATAGAATTATGCTTTGTTTTCAAGGACTCCCCCACATAACCACTGAATGAAACAGAGCTCTACAGAAGCCGCGTTACAGGTTCGTGTAGCTGAGGACTATCAAAACGCACGTGGACAAGGGCAGAACAAGGGCTGAGCACGGCACCAGTGACCACCGAGGTCAACAGGTACTTAAAACCTCATTTTCCAGTCGCAGCATATAGCCAGTTGGGTGGATGTTTTAAATTTTATACAAAGAATGCTAGCGTTGAGGTGGTTTCAGAAGAGGAGAAAGCTTATCATCATCAGTTAAAACTGGTATTTCTAATGTGATTTTCTCTTCCTTTTTTCAGTTTAAAAAGCTAATTAGTATCTCCCATTTAGTAAGAAACAAATTTGTCATTGTTTCTTTTCTATGCAGAAATTTCAGCTTAGAAGCCGTTGCAACTGTACTGCCCCACGTTTACAACTTCTAAATTACACGGCTGTGTTCCACCCAGTACTTCCTTTAAGGACAACACTAAACTTTCTCTTGATGCTTCTCTATGCCTTCTTAAACCGAGCACTAGCAAACCAGCCTCTAAACTCGACCCACAACGCGCTTCTGCCTTCTACTCTTAGGAGGTATCACAATAAAAAACTCTTTTGCCTCTTCTTCAGGTAAACGAGTTGAGTTTGTACCTCAAAACTTTAATTTATTGGGGTGCACCATATCACCTCACCTGAAGAGTGAGCAAAAATCTCCTACATCAGCCAGTACAAGAGACAGTGACACTTATACAGGGACAGGATGATGGGGTTAACGGGGAGCCCATGGTCTCAGATTCAGAGGAGGAGCTAGTTCCAGTGCCTGGGAGGGCTACAAGGAAGCTGGGTGGGCTTTTTACAAGGGCAGGGAGTGACAGGACAAGGGGTAACGGGTTTAATAGGAAAGAGGGAGATTGAGATTGGACATCAGGAAGAAATTCTTCCCGGAGAGGGTGGGGAGGCACTGGGCCAGGTTGCCCAGAGAAGCTGTGGATGCCCCATCCCTGGAAGTGTCCAAGGCCAGGCTGGATGAGGCTTGGAGCAAGCTGGTCTAGTGGAAGGTGTCCCTGTCCGTGGCAGGGGGTGGGACTGGATGGTCTGTAAGGTCCCTCCCAACCCAAACTGCTCCGTGATGACTCTGTGCTGGTTGCAGCGAGGGGCGGTTCCTCCTGCCCCGTCGCCTTTGCAGAAATGCCTAGCTGCAGACGAAGCAGCTGAACTCCCCCACCCTCCGCAGCTCAGATTAGGGCAAACCAGTGCTAACTGTGAATCAGACCGCTGTTTGCAGTGGCTCAGTCCTGCAGATCAAGGGCAAGAGTATCACAGAAGAATGGGGCAGACAACTGATTGCACCTCCCAGTCTGCTGTGAGTCAGAGCACCAGAGAAGCTGCTGGTTTAGCTCAGTCAAACGAAGGGCAACTCTTCATGAACACGTGAAGTTAGACAGTTCTCCTCTTCCCAGTGTGCAGGTTAAAGAATAAGGTTTAGGCCATGAAAGAATGCTTACCCAAACCAGGTGATTTGGGCTGTAAACCAATGACAGCTTCTGTCAAAGGAGTCAAGTTTTGAAACAAGTGCCCAGTAATACAGCGTCTTATCTAATCAGCCTTTGCCTTTCAGCTACCAGGGTAGGAAAACTGAAAGAGCAAGAAGTATCGCCGGGTTCTGCTGACTGCATTTCCAGCTTAGCACCTCCCTCTCTCATGACCTCACATGCCATTATCTAGTCAAAGACATCAGCGTTTCCATGCCTGTGCATCTACAAGATGGGGAGTAATGCTGGGCAGGGAAGGAAGGGAGAGAGGGATGGGCATCTTCACATTCTCCACCTTCTTCCCAAATCTCAGATCTCCCTGGTGGAGAGGTCAGTGCTACTAACACCACCGGAACTGACCAAGTGCTGGGCATATCAACCTAATACCTCAAGTTCAGACACTTATTTTCAAGAGTTTCAAGCTACCAGAGACAGTCAGTGCCTCCTAAATGCAAAGATGACCATCAGCCACGGAAGGGTGTGTGTTAAAGAGCAGTGTTCAACCACACCTCATCAGCAGGCACCAGTAAGGGGACCCAGCCCACCAACCACAGCACGAATGAGACAGCAAAGAGGTGTCCTCGTCTCCCAAACAAGGAAAGGAGCCAGAAACCAAAACTGGAAACTTTGGAATGGGGCCCAGGTTTCAAACAGCTCAAAGATAACAAAAGTGCTAAGTTGTTTTTGGAAATTAATAGCAAGAAACCTGGCTAATTGCTGCCTCAAGCTTTCCTACAGGTTCCACTTGTCCTGCTCAGCTACGGCAGCAGCACTGCAGGAGGATGCACATGCCAAGGGGCACTCTGAGGAGGCCCCCGAGCAGCTTCAGGCCTTGTTAGAAGAGGAGACTCTAAGAAACAGCAACAAAAGCAATACAACAAAACTTAAACCACGACAGCCACAAAAGCCCATTCTGTATGAGTTTCGGGGAAGGGCTCTATAGGCACCTATGTGGATGGACACAGATCCAGCTACCCGAAAACAGCAAGCTGAAGCCAGGAAAAGCATGTGCTGAGAGGCAGGCGTGTGAAGCTCTCCCAAGAACTGATAACTGTGGAGGACAGTGATCCCGCTGAACCCGCAGGAGCTGATAAACTGGGAACACCAAGGGCCTGATAAATCTGGAGGAGGCCACGAGCGCACACAAGTATCAAGGTTACGCTGAGGCCGTGTAACTTGGATCGCATCCAAGAAGGTGGTGGCTGGTATATATTGATGAAAATGACAATATTACATCCATATTTATCTTTTTAGATTTGTATTTATATAGGCACACAGGTATCTGATGAAAATGGGATCCCTAAGTGACCTTCTGAATACCCACCTTGAAGGAACTGGCATGTCAGTGTGACCCTTTGAGTAAACTGCTGTTGCTCCTAAGAGGTCACCGTGAATGCCTCTGTGATAACGGAGTAACTGAGCGCGCTCTGCCACCAATAGTCAACATCTTGATGCTCCTAATAAAACCAGTTTAACGAATAAAAGTCGTTCTAGCAAATATTGGTTGTGACCTGTGTCTCCTCCTGACTGCCAGGGAAACAATTAAGACTCGCTCATGCTAGAAACGCTGAATTGTTCCCCCCAAGTCAGCTTGGTCAGCAAGACCTTGAAGATTCACTGCAGCCCGTTCCAATGTGCAGTACAGACAAGAGCCTCCCTGTCTGTGTGCAAATACACCAACGGGGCTGGGAAAGGGAGTAAAATACCAGCTGAAAAAAAAAGAATGGAAAACAGAGAAACTATCTCCATAGGGCCTGTTAACAAGGAATCCATTGACAATGCAGTCAGAAACACGGTCAGTTGTACATCTCTCACCCACAGCCGCTTTAGGCAGCGGCCATGCAGCGCTCTCGTGGGCGGTGATCACAGCCGCCAGCAGTGGAGGACCAAAGTACAGTTGCAACAACAGCAGAAGCCTGTGTGACTAATCAGTGATTTGGGATGTTACTCCCGTTGCAGACAGCCTAAATCCCTGCCTGACAGCACGGCTGTCTCCAGGAGAGATTACCGTCTCCAGGATCACCGTGTGGTCAGTGAACCAAAACCTGGCTTTAAACGGAACGAATTGAAGAGCAAATCAACCTGAGCTGTACTGGCTGGACGTATTCCTTGCGAAATCGCTTCAGGTCTGCGCTGATAGGCTGCTCCCCCTTCTCGATGGCCAGCCTGTCTGCTTCGGTGGGCTCAGGCTCCGGGATTTCAAACCTACCAACAAAAGCACCAAAAAAACTGATGGCAACTGAGACAAAACACAAACCCTTAAAAAGTTGCATTTTAAAACAAGTTCAGCGCGGTGGAACTCAAGCACTCATCTCCTATCCGGTTTGCCTGGAATTCCCTCCTCCCCTAGCTGAGTCCTGCTAACACACCCAGCTCTCACCCTGCTGACTCACTGGTTCTCTGCCTGTCACCAGCTGTCTAGACTAGGATGTACGGTCTTTAACTACCTGCTAGCTTGATTAAGGGAAGATTAGAAGAAAGCTTAAGAGCAGCTTTATCACACTGTATTAACTGTTGTTTACCCTAAGAGCCCATGCCTTTCAAACAAACTGCTTACAACATTCCCCTGCTCCCCCACGGAGACTTAGGCACAGTGGGATACACTCACGTGCCCCAACGGCACCGAGAACCCGAGCAGGGAAGGGGCAGGTAAACACACAAAGCCTTTCCTTCAGTATCTCCAGAAGGATGATCACTACTCACCTTTCAATCAGTAAACTCAGCAGTTCCTGGGGCTTGCAGAAGGAGCGGTAGGTGGTAAGGAAAGTACGTACGAAATTAGGATCTGTGAAGACAGAACAAGAAAACGATGTGCGTGGGGGTTTTTTACCCAACTGCAAGATAGCAGAAACAGAATCCGCATACGCTCACAAGTGCAGACAATACACTGAGGTTAGAAGTCAAGCACCGTAATCCGAAAAACACCAGGAACGATGCTGCTTGTGCAATTTTCATTTAGTCTTCGACACGCTCCCCCTGTAAAAGCTTTCAACTGCGCACACCGCGTTCTCTCAAAAACTGCATCGCAGCCTTGGCGTGCGGGATGGCTCACCATCCCCGAATACGCAGCTGCCCCACCGTTTCACAAAGACAAAACACGGTAGAACTAGGCTGTCTGCTCCTGACATCAACAATAGCTCCAGCACCCCGACGAAATGGTTCCTACCTGCAGCGGGGACTGCACACCCGCCCCAGACACACACCCACCCGCTGCAGAGCAGCCGGTCAGGAAACACGTGGCGTGGCAGAGGCCTTACGTGGCAAATACCTGCAGGGGTTCACGACTCTGCATCTCCACATGCTGTCACACCTCCCTCATGCTGCTTCCCACCCCTACGGTAGGTGTGTTACCGCCGGATGTGCCTGTCCGCAAGCTACCCCGCGTTTTCCCAGGCCCACGCTGCTACATCAGAAGCATCAAAGGAAAACCACTGTTCCCTTAATCTCTGTTAGTTCTGCTCTTGTACAGAGCTTCTTCGGTGGTGAATGAGCAAGCTGACGGACAAACCCCTTCACTGCAAGCCACGAAGGGTCACCGTCTGGTCCTAATCCTGACATCCCTGCAGCAGACCCCCTCACCAGGGAGATGGGGCAGGACGCTGCTGCTGCGTGGTACGCAGCAGCTTCCAGAGCTGCCTGGGAGCAAAGCAACGCTGAAAGACAGGAAAAGCAGGCCTAGAGAAGTGCGTGTGCACACGCTCAGGGACAAGTGTGGATTCTGGGTTGTTGAGTTTCCTTTGCCTGTTGCTCTGTCAACAGTCCTGGCTCGTCAGCGTTACGTGCAGGCAGCTTACACCTGCAGTCTTCAACATATGGGCAGCGAGTTTCTTCCCATAAACCCACAGAAGATGAAGACAAACACTGCTTTTCAGAAGGCTTAAATTCCCTGCAGAGCACTGCTCAAGATTTTTAAGGGATCCGTACGCAGCAAGACACTTGCAAGCTAGAAGGAGTAGCGCTCTCATTCTGTGCTAATGCTGCTGAGTCTGCAGCCCTGGCCTGCACCGCTGCCACGTCACATCCACCTTCACTCCTCAGTACTATTTATGACATTCTTACCACTGAACAGGCAGGCAGAAGCTCTGCTCTGCAGACAAGACCTGCAATCCTCTTAAAATAGGAGCTGCTGCTCTGCTCTCTAACCTGTGTGGGTTCCTTTATATTATGTTTGTAAGCCACGTTCTCAGTAAAGCAGAAAATACAAGCAGTGCGCTGCTAACAGTGGCTCGCGATCTAAATGCCAATTAATTCCCCATCTGCTACCTCCCATGGAGTCCTGGTATCACCTGGACACTTCTCTGACGTGACAGAGGTCACTCTGGGAACGCACAGCCTGCTCCAAACAACTCCCAAACTAACACCAACCTGCAGTGAACTGACAGGTTAAAAAAAAAAAAAATCATGTTTTGACCTAAATACAAACAAAAAGCACCGCCGAGAGTCCCTCCACATGCTGTCAGTCACCGAGATGCCCGCGTTGGGGGCTGAGGGAGAGGACTCTGTTGGTTTTGGCTCTGAACACCGTTTGGAACAAGCTCACAGGAGCCCAGGAGGCAGTGCTTTCACTGAAGACTCCCAAGGGCAAAGCGCTTGCACTGTGAAAACTGCTGTTACGCTACCCAACTCAGATGCAAAAAAGCAGGAAGAGAGCTAAGGCAGGCCACCGAAAGCCATCACACCTTAGAAGGGGCTGATTTGGGACTCTCGGACAACACAACTACGGATGACCGGCTGCAGCAACACTGCGCTTCAGTGTGAGAACGGCCTCTGTTCTGTTTTTTTTAAATGTGCACTCTCTAGCCTTAGTTTTACAAAAAAAGGCTCACAAATACCAGGCCCTTCTGTAAGAAGACCGTTATTATTTGAAAGTTTTACAGGAATCGCACACGGCTTCCACCAGCATCCTTCCGTCAGCTTCCCTGCATCCCCTTTTCAGCACGTTTTTCATCCCAAACCGAAGACCCAACCTCTTCATCCACATCAGCACTTCACAGACCTACACCAAGGTTTCAGTTCTGAGGCTTGCAGAGGACAGGCTGAAGAATGCCGGCTGTGATCTGCACCCTTTTCTCCCGAGGGACTTCACAAAGCAGCAGGTTGGAGCGTAAGAAATAGAACCTCCAACCTTTTTCTTCCTCCGGAGTCACGCAGCCTGAACACCGCCGCTGCTTCAGCCGTGACGGCCCCACAGACATACTAGTGGTTCCTATTAGACCCCCGATACCTTTTTGTGAGGGGAGAGGGCTTGCATACCCAACATCTTCTTACAGCTTTGCCACAGCAGAGCCGATCGATCTAGTAACACGTACGTTTGGGGTTTTGCCCTGCAAATCCTGCTTTACATTTAACTCTACACCCAACCAGAAGACAAAAGCATTCATTCCATCGCCCTTCCAAGCATGACCCTAAAACCCACGTATACATAACAAACGCAGAGGATACCTGCATACATATGGTACGTTAACCTTTCGATTAATTTCACAACCGTTCCTCCTTTGATGATCGGAATGCCGTTCCTGCTTTGCAAGTTGTCCTCGAAAACAATGTTATCCTCTGAGTCTTCCACTACAAAACGATACACGTTTGGGCTGGGCAACCTCAGTGGCTGTTCGTTTTCTTCTTGTAGTAACACCGAATCGAGCATCCTATCCAGCGTACTGCGATACTGGAGGGAAATCAGAGCGGCCATCCAGTTGCTCTTCTCTTCAGCAGACTTGGCAGCGAACAGGATACTGTTCTCATCTTTAGACACCAGTTCAAAGGCATGTTTATATTCAGATGTGTCATCTTTATCGATAATCTGTATTTTCCTCATGATAATTTTCTCCTTCAGTCTATACTCCGCGTTGCTGTAACCAGGAAGCCGCGACTGTCCGTGATTAGTTTTACAGCTGATCATTAAACCATCGAAGAGAAAGATGTGGCGTTCGTGTTTGGCTCCGATTTTCGTCAAGCCACCTTCCATTATGAATTCATTACAGCACTGCCCAATATCTTTGCCTTCCCAGCCGTCAATATTTTTCTGGATTTCATTCATTTTCTTGATGGCCAAGTGCTTGCTTCTTATTTGTCGGTTATAGAAACGACAGACCTGCTCCCTGGAATGAATAAGAAAAAGTCACGATAGGCACCTTCCACATTTGCCATCCCAAGAGACCAAAAAAGATTCAACTAAATTAATTCTTTATATCACTATTGCTTTGCCCTAAACCTGCCCGAAGCAGGTTTCCTGTTCCAAATAAGCCACATGCACTGCTCTGGCTGGGGAAGGAGTAAGATATTCTTCGCAGAAGTGGACTGTGAAGGTTTTGGGCTGCTACTCCATGTACAATGAAAACTGGCATAAAGACCTGCCTTGAAAAGGAAATATACAGATTATCTAACAAGAAAAAAAACCCCAAAACCCCAGATTACAATGCCTTCCAAATAAATTATCTCCTTCTCTGCCCACTCTGGGACAGCAGGGTAGTTCTGTGGGTTATTACCCAGGCCGCCGCCTCGGGGAGTGTTTGCTGTAGATGCGCTCCATGCTGCACTGCAGATTCAGGAGAGCAGTAATGGCTTGCTTCAAGCACTCCCGATCCTCTTCATCTTCACTGCA